ATTCTAGCCAAAGATGTGGGATACAAGCAGTTAAATATTTAGTTTCCGTGATTTGCTATCGCAGGGCACATCCTCCGTCAAATTTGGTCACGTATTCAAGGTCAAATGTGTCAACATATACTTGTTAGCTGTTAAGTCCATAAATGTATATATTAATGTAATGATGTAGACCGTAATCAAGAGGGACACACCTGTACCAACACGTCGCATCGTGATTGTGTGGTGAACTTGGAACGATGATGAGCTCATTTCGGTTGTGATCTTTAGAAAGGTAACAATGTATAGGAGGAGATTAGTGGTGAACTCTTTATATTAGCGTATTGCACCAGAGAAAAATATTGCATTGTGGCAACAATGGATTTCAACAATCAACGACAACCTCACTGCAACATAACGGTGATTTTGCCGAGAAAGACTAGTGCTGAGCTTGATTTGTTCGTGTGGTGAACCTCAACATTTCAACACAAACATGCTGCATTGTGACAACAATGGATTTCAACAAACAACCGACAACCTCACTGCAACATGACGGTGATTTTGCCGAGAAAGACTAGTGCTGAGCTTGATTTGTTCGTGTGGTGAACCTCAACATTTCAACACAAACATGCTGCATTGTGACAACAATGGATTTCAACAAACAACCGACAACCTCACTGCAACATGACGGTGATTTTGCCGAGAAAGACTAGTGCTGAGCTTGATTTGTTCGTGTGGTGAACCTCAACATTTCAACACAAACATGCTGCATTGTGACAACAATGGATTTCAACAAACAACCGACAACCTCACTGCAACATGACGGTGATTTTGCCGAGAAAGACTAGTGCTGAGCTTGATTTGTTCGTGTGGTGAACCTCAACATTTCAACACAAACATGCTGCATTGTGACAACAATGGATTTCAACAAACAACCGACAACCTCACTGCAACATAACGGTGATTTTGCTGAGAAGGACTAGTGATGAGCTTGATTTGTTCGTGTGGTGAACCTCAACATTTCAACACAAACATGTTGCATTGTGACAACAATGGATTTCAACAAACAACCGACAACCTCACTGCAACATGACGGTGATTTTGCTGAGAAGGACTAGTGATGAGCTTGATTTGTTCGTGTGGTGAACCTTACTTCAACGTAAATTTCTTCTATTCTGAAAACAATGGGTGAAGTGAATAAAAACTAGTACATACTACGTAGTTCGTACTACGTAGTTCTAGCACTTGCTCAAATCTATGTGAATAAGAATGAGCTAGAACTAGGAAGTAAGTACTAGGGGTTCCCTAAATGATGTAGTACGTACTACCCCCTAGTACGTACTCATAATCAAGGCACAACTGGCGTGCGGCGATAATCTGTTTGCCATTCCTGTATGCACCTGCATTTTTCTCAGTCGTGTTGATCAAATATGCCTAGTATTTGGTTAACTGCGCTTGACGACAATTTTGATGGCGTTGACTAGGTATTGCAAGGGGGTGATAGGGCATTAATATTGATTAGTGAGCTGTGATAAAAACATTTCTATAACTTTGAGAAATCTAAAACTCCGGGCGTGGTAAGGGGGAAAACAGTGTCTTGAAAATGTTAGATGATACAAAAAAATTCTAGGTAAGGATTTTAAAAGATAATATGAAAAATGCGATGAAGAAAAAATGGATAGGAATGTTAAGGGGAATAAACCGACTAAGCTTAGAGAAGGAATTGAGAGTTGATAAGGGGAAATGAGAAGGAAAAAAAACTTGTTGGTAAACAAATCAACAATATCACTCTAAAATAACAGTAATTGCTTACAGTTAACAATATTTCTTTTTTCAAGGTACGTTTTCCTGGTATGGACTTGTATAAACATCGCCATCTTCACAAACGACCAAACTGAAGCATGCCCATGAGCGTACTCCATAAAAATGAAGTAACTACTATGCGGACCGGTTTTTATTCACCGAAAAAGCCTAGTAGATACTACGTTCCCTAAATGACGAAGTATTTACTAGGAGTAGTACGAACTAGCATTTTTATTCACCTGCAAGATATAGTTTGTACTAGGGGCTAGTATGAACTAGCATGTTTATTCACCGAAAACCGAGTAAATACTCCAAAAAGAAGTAAATACTACCAAATACTACCTTTTATTCACCTCACCCAATAGACTGCAACAATCTCATTGTCTTCCCGAAACAAAAGCGCATTGCTATTGTCTCTAAAGGAGAACCATTTAGTTGACAATTACAGATTTGTCGATGTAGTGCAGCGAAAGGACAGTTTTCAATACACAACACATGCGTTGCGTGGCTTGAGAAGTTCTCTTACCCTTAGCAAAAAATTAATCAGCTGGAGTCTGGGACATGAGCTATGGTTTTTTTCTTACGTTAAATTTTTCCTCTGATTTTGCTGACGAAAATAGTCCCGATTGATGTAAATATTGTTACTTTATATTATATGTTTATTTTTTAATATCGTGTAGCATGTACTTTTCACTAAAATAACATCCACATTACTATCCTTTATCAAAATTAACACAAATTTCTGAATTCCACTTAATTATTGTGTTAAATGTGTTGCTTCTAAATAACTGTAACAGATGTTTGTATACAACACCAAATTAAGACGTAAATAATTTTACAAGCTAACTCGAAATAGGCCTACAGCTTTTTATTCACTTAGCAAACAATGGTGCACCATGACTAAAAATATTGTTCATCACATTACTTAAAGTGTCTTTGCTCACTTTCCAACCTCGGCTTTGCCTCGTCATTAAACTTGAAGATCACTTTAGTGGTGAAATCTTCAATTTGAGAGGACATTTTGTAAATCAAGGGGATAATACGGAACATATTACTGTGTTGTAGGAGGTATAAAAGCCACCCTACAATTGCTCTGCAGTCTCACATAGAGTGTGTACTAGATGTAAAAAATTGACATTTGATTGCAATACAAATAACGCGATATACGATAAATTTACTTATGAAATAGGGATGAAATTTATAAGTCTATTTAACTTATATGTTCAAACATTAAACTTGAACAAATGTGAACATGTTTATAATCCAAAACACAACATGTTTGTATAAGTAGCAGTTTGGTAAGTAAACAATGTATTTATGTCATCTAGTTCACTAATCCGCACACGCCTAATATTGCTTAATCGACTAAAAACCAACTGCCTAGCCTCCATGGTACTATTGGCCTAATTTGCTGTTAACTATGTCTACTTCAGCACATCAATTATTATATTAAGTTTTAAGTCAATCCTCATAGATTACTTTGCTCGAAGTTCATTTTTTGAAGGTTTATTGTGGTCACTTAATGTCCAGTTTAGGTTGTGTTTTGTGTATTGTTAGTTGTGTGTTAATTAAGTTTTTTCACCTGAGGATGGGATCAAATTTAAGATCCTGGACGTTGTGTATTTTATTTTACCAATGTGATGGAAGATGCCTACAATAAACCTTAAAGTACTTTTAAATTTGTACATATTGTATTCAGCATTGAATTACAGTGTAACAAACATAATGTCTATAGGTTACTCCATTGATTGGTTGTATTCCTGAAGAAATTAACAGGAATATTTCAGAATCACACACAACAGCAAACATAGATATTTTTAAGAGATACATAAAGTTAACGATTTACAAAATCTTAAGTGCCAGAGATACATTTATACCTATAAAATGCAAAGCCCTCACTGACTGACTGAGTCACTCACTATATAATTCTCTTACTTCTTATTTACCTAGAAGACTGAAATTTGGTACACTGATTCTAAGTAGTTATTATTCTGATCGGACTTTCGGGCTTCACCCCAGTGGCTCTGGAGTTTCCTATGTTTACCTTATGATTTTTCATATTTAACAGCTGTTCTTAACAGGAATCTTAACAGATTTTTTAATTAAACAAGTTGGTTCTATGATGTCCAATGGCATTATAAGGTTACAAAGGTTTACCAACAGGGTGCACTACTATTATTTTTTTTTTTTTAATTTATGATAACAGCTAATTTGAACAAAGCAGCAACAAAAAGCTGTGATACACAATGAGAACTGGCAAATCCTAAATTTTTGTGGTATTGTGCAAATATGGTAATTTTATTTTTAAGTCCATAATTCAATATGTTATTGACTTTTTTCCAAATTTTTATAAAAAAGTAGTGTTTGTTTCCGCCAAAAATAATGTCTTGGAAAACGAGTAGCATTAATAATTTTAATGCAATACTGATAAAGTCAATGACTTGGATGGAAGGAACTAATATTGTTTGGAGTATCTCAATAACGTGAAAAACTACTTGACCAATTGAGCTAATTTTTTCCATGAATAGAGCACAGGCTTAATGGAGATAGTAATCTTTTATTTCAATACTCTCCTAGGGCTCTGCCCTAACAGCTTATTAACTTCAATGTTGTTCTTCGAAGTATCCATGAAAAGCCACTCGAAATGCCACCAAACCCGGTACGGCAATAAATAGTTTTATTGGTTTTATATAGCTAGTATATTTATAAAAATGCAACTTGAAATTAACACAAGCGTTTGTTCATTATTCAGTCCAAATACTCTAAAAGAAGTGCAGAAGTTTTTTTGTGAGCTAATGCAAAATAATATGTGATTATCCTGACTTTGAAAGTAGGATTCACTTTGACTTTGAAGTTAGTATTCGTGATGTGAATCATACGTTTTAGTGGCCTAAATAGTTTTAGTGGTTAAATAGTAGTGGGATCGATGAGCTGCATCTTCGGACATATTATTTTGGGGAATTTATTTAGGTTCCTTAATTGTAGTTTTATTTTTACATTGCCAAATTAGGCAAATCACTAACAACAAGAATATTTATAAAATAAAACCATATTTCTGAATTCGTGCTAACCATATAATATTATTTCCGAAAAATTTAATTTCCCGATTTGGTTTAACTCGTTTACAGTATCATCAGTGCATTAGACAAATACTATGACAATTCAGAATTGATATTAATGTAAGTGTGAATCTAGAGACTATGACAGCAAATGCAACTAACCCTTGATGAGATGGTTTCGAGGTTCGTTCACGTTCGACGGTCTATCGTTACAAGTTCGCTTCGCTACGCTCGGCACTACACCACTTCCACAAGCTGACTGATGTTGAGTGTTGACCCCCTCTCCGCTAGCAGCAGACTCCTAGGCCCCTCGCCATCGCCTGCCTACCGTTAGCGTCAGTGTCAGTGTCAATATCCCGGCCAAGACCTTGCCAATGAAAGGCTGGCTACCAGTCCAGCCCCTCACGTTGTTGGTCCTCCACTGATAAGATCTTTGGAATGGATAACCTGTGTTCTGAAGGCTGATAATCTATCCATGTCAAATCCCTTATCAGTGAACCTTGAGTAAAAGATATACACAATTTATCCGCAAGAGTGTGCGCAAAATCCTATTGTGATATTGAGACAAGTTTTCCAGACTTTTACAATCCCGTTTGCATCAGAACAGAAATTTTAGTTTTTAATTTTGTTGTAAGCCCAGCGCCCCGCTATAAAGACATGACTTTTTATTGTCAGAATAATATGCACATTTTCTTACATAAACAATAAATATGCTATGAAATGTTTTTGTAGTTGTACCGTCAACCCTATCACATCTCGGGCGATTGGTTTGAAAGCATTATAGTTTAGTTTTTTTCGCATTATGTACTTTATTTATTCTTGGCAGTTGTTTTTAATGTAGTCAGACCGAGAGATTGTACCGCTTATCTATAATAGTGGTTCTTCCGATCGTTGTATGTACAAATCCTTATCTTCCCAGAATAATTGTATGCATATGCAATATAGTCTAATTTAATGTTTCAAGATTGCTTCAAAGCCACTCACAAAATTATTTGGAAAAGTCAATTATAAAAAAACTTGTGAATAATGTATGAATAGTTGAGAAGGATGCTGCAAAAGGTTAAGGTGGTCGTGTATAAATACTATAAACTGTTATACAACATTAGGCGATACGTATGTGTAAAGATGTACTTGTTGATTCACACAAGTTTCTACAAGCTAGAGTATGCAGACGGAATAACAACACGTCACTAGCTAAAACTCTGTGGTTTTATAATAACACAGCGGAATAATAACTGTTATTTGTCTGTGGCAAAGATTGGACCGGGCAATTTTATTCGGATTCGCGAAATTCCAATCATGTTCATTAGAGTTCCACCTGTTTTCCTCCTACCACATGCGTCACTAAAGACGTATTCTTAGACACCCTTTTAACATTGCTGCGGCCTCCATTTAATGCCTCTCATTATATTTATTTTTGTAGACCACATCGAAGGATATCATTCTTCACTAATATATATTAAATTGCAGCATTACGTCTCGTAAATATTTTCCTCGACGAAACAACTTTAGAGTTATAAGCTCTGTGGTGCCGTATATTTATCATAGTGTACAAAAACAGCTGTCGTCAATATTTTCATTTTATCTGTTGAGTATTCGTCGATATTAATTTGTAATTAAATTTAACTAGTTTGTGGCAGTTTCTGACACTTATATTTCTTGCAGGTGCATCCTGATCAAGATCATCTAGCTTAGCGCATGGGAAAACTTTAATGGCGTTTAATGGGGAAACTTTAGCGACATTTAAATTGCACCTCTCAATATTAAAATATAATTGCAACTACAACATAGCACATAGTATATGCTACAACAGCCATAAAAGCAAATACAACCAATCCTTCCCCAATTCCCCAATCGGAACAGAATAAAACCAAGCCTTGGTCCTACTTGAGAATTCTAATATAATAATATAAAACTATAACAACAAGAACGTTTATATCGTTGTTCTCATTGATGGCCGGTCCAATATGATTTGGCAACTCCGGACTGCAGCCTTTGTCGTATGTTTATTATTCTCTATACAAAACCATCTCGTCCTCGTTCCTTTTTATGAGTACTGTTGACTGTCTATGGCCCAAGAGTCTCAAAGTTACATTGACGCTATAATCTTCAAAACAAAAATCGTACATTTATGACTTTGCACATTAAACAAAAAACATTCAAAGACCATTAGACGATTATTATTCCCACCTTCATATCCTAGCTGGAACTCTTGACTCTTGCCCGGAACTGTTTTACACATTACTTCAGGCTAGTCGTAGTGGGTCGTGGCATTATCCGTTAGATAATATCCGTTGTTGATTAGCAGGATTTGAACCTGGAGCCTCGGGGACCGAAGCCCCGCGCTCTACCTCTAGACCAGCTCACTTCCTCAAGGCCATCATTAGATGAGCCACAATGGTTATGGGGTACTGAGGGAAAACCGGACTCCTTTAAACAGTGTAGCTTTATGTAATTCTAACAAATCTCTTTTTGTTTATTTATGGTATTTTCTAGATGTTATTCTTGGCATTTCCTTTTAGCGAATTTCCCATATAGGGAATAAGCTATTACCGTAGTACTCATGGTAAGACCTGGACGTGGGACCGATTTTTTTTTCGTTTTGAGGTCCCTAGAGGCCAAAAACACCATCCGTTCAAATTCATATATATATATATATATATGTGTGTGTGTGTGTGTGTGTGTCCGTCAGCACGATAACTCGAGAAAAAATGATCCGATTTTGATGAAATTTGGTACAAACGTGTAAACCTACGTTTATTCGAACGAGTTCGTGATCCAGCATGATCGGACCATGGGAACAGGTGTTTACGGGGGGTTTTATGGGGTAAAAATAGGTTTTTCCCATTTTTGACCCAAAAAACGTAAAATTTAGCAATTTATTTCCAAACCATTTTGTAGAGCTTAAAAAAACAAATAATTTAGTATATTGAAGCGTTATTATGCGCCTAATGGTTACGGAGAAAATTCAAAAAAATTGTTAATTTAAAATTCCCATGTTATTCTTATGGAGAAGAAGTAAACTGTTGTAGTTTGCTTGTTTATGAACATATTTTGATCAAATTTGGAAAATGTTTTAATTTCTTACTAACTATTACCATTTTACACAAAAAAAATACAGCTTTACCCTCCCTGATGCAGCAAACCTAAGTACTTGTTAAACTAATTCTATTTAATCAGGAATAAATGTTATATTTTTAAGTAGACATTTCAGTGTAAATCCAATCAGTCAAATGGAAATTCGCTTAGTCTGCAGGTTTGCTGCGGCGGGGGTATTTTAATCATTCTATAGTGGTGCATTTCTTTGAAAGCTTAACTCCAGTGAGTGTAACAAGGTAAGTGGAAGTTCGAGTGTGTATACGAGTAGACAAAAACTATTACTTTTAGATTGTTTGGTTCAGTGTTGGTTCGTTGTAGATTATATACGTGTTGTGAAATTTCACAAAAACAGGCTAATGAATGATATATACTTGTATACTGTACTTCGGGTTTCCTCTCATTAGTTCAGCTTGGGCTCCTAGTGACTTCAGCGAACTAATGGGAATTCGGCCCTTTCTAGTCTAATTAAAATTAATACGAAGGACGATGTGGAAGGAATACAACAATGAAAAGTCCAAGAAAACGAAGGACCACAACGGTAAGTTTAAAATTATTCACCTAAATGTGATATATAAAGTATTTTCCCATTGAAAACTGAAGTTCGTCAAGTTAATTTTAATGATAGTGCTAAGTACCTGGTTAATATGTTGCATTTTATTATGAAATATGTTATATGTTAAAACATAAGTGGATTGAAAGTTAATTATAACATACTCTTAAAATATCTTAAACACATTTTTGAGTCAGATTTTACATCTGAGAGTTATCGCATAAAAACGCAGTTTAGATGTTGTGGTCAAACCCCTATTCATAGTACAGCTTTCTTCTATCCATTCTCATTTATTTCGAAATATCTTTAAAACTATTCTCAAGATTTTCTACGCAAAGAAGAAAACTGAGTGAGTTAATAAAGGGCTGAAACTAAAAAAGGAATTGAAGCCATTCATTTACAATTCAACCTGTGTAATGATTTGAGCAAGGATATCACGCAAAGAACGAATAAAACTAACTCACTAAGTCAGTAGAGTGGAAGAGTGGCAATTCATAAAGTACAACGTAGCAACGCACGCACATACAAAAGTTCATCTCACTGAATATCTGTTTATCGGAAAATACATTAAGAGATTGATACCATTGTTGAAGTAAATGAGTTGTGGCAATTTTAAGGTTAAATTGTCTGGAACACAACTTGACACGGATACCGACGAGTATGATGAGAAATTGCCTTTCTAATAACTTTGATATATACTTTATTGAATTATATTGCGATTTGCCTTGACAGCTGTGATTTAATTATACACAATAAATAATGTATTATGGTGTTTCTTCACAGCTTTTATTTCACTGATTTACACCATAGACAAAAGTAATTAAAATATAGACCGTCAACCGTGCTGCGGTTACCATAGGTTCTGGCGCACACCGCTGAGAGCGCCATGTAGTTACGGCGTACGCGCTACGTAACTACACGGCACTCTCAGCTGTGTGCGCCAGAACCTATGGTAACCATGGTAACCGCAGCACGGCTGACAGTCTATATTTTAATTCTTTTTGTCTATGCTTACACCTTATTGGTCTGTTTTGTTAAAAGTTAATAAGAATGCAAAATAAGTGTGCAAAAATTTTTACTTGAAACATAAATAAAATTAGTTATCTCCTAATACTTATATCATGAGATAGTTGTTTTAATTCTTACTTTATATTACCTATCGACTGATGGAGTTTTGTACTTGGAATGGACACGATTGTTCGCCTTCTGAGGCTTTTGCAGATTGTTGAAAATTATGATTTGTGAAACTTATTGTGTGTACTTCACAGCTTCACGGTCGTAAACATCACGTCCAGAAGTTGACATCACGGGATTTGAATTTTCGGAGACCAAGAGATGTTTTTCTATTATTTTCTTCAAATCAAATTACACATATAGGCCTAATGCGTTATTACGATATTTTATATATTTAATTTTAGCTTATGTTTGGTTGGCGACTCCTTTCGTGTATACATTCATTGAGCCGAGTTCTTATTTAGTTAATAAGTTAGTTCTAAAGTCAAACACAATGAGAGCACATTTTGAAACTTTTGCTCGATTGCACTAAATTAACGCCTTTATTTTATGCTATTAATCTTTTCCCACTTAAGGACGAATATGTTTTATATTCTCTTCTAGACTCTTATAAAGGTTCGTCCTGAATTTCTCGATCATTTGTGGATCTTAGTCTTTCAATTATCCAAAGTCTTCTTAGGTTGCACAATAGCATTCAAGAAATATAA